CAGGGAGGAATTGGGCCTGTAACACACTAAAAAATCAAAAGTTTTACTCAGACTGAACTCAAACAGACAAGCTTTCTTTCAAAAAGAACCTAAATTGCTTTTCTTCAGATAATTTTGTTCAATACATCACTACCTAATTTAATGAATTATACCTATTAGAAACATTTTTATCCTCCTTTTCCTAAGACAGGAATTAGACCATGCAGTGGCTTTTTCATAAGGCTGAAATTTACTTGGCAAAGTAAATAAGTGAGCAAAGAAGCAGAGAGAGTCACACTGCTCCATAGATAACTTTTGCAATTCACTAGTGCAGAGAACATAACTATAAAGCTATTTAAAAGGTGAGATGGGACTGAATGGCTGAAATAGCTCTTTTTCCATTTTCTGATTCAAGTTGAGTATGTCTCTAATATTCTGATATGATTTTTAGAAAAATTCTGAAAAATACAAAGTGCCATTCAGCAGCTGCCAGCAAGAAAAAGCCCATGAAGACAACCTTGAAACAGCAAGATAAGGCACAGCCAGACTTTTATAACTCGCATTCCTTAAGGAAGCTCTAAAAGATAGAAGTGGGTAAACCCAGAAAAATGCATGTGCCATCCAGCTGTCTAAAAAAGTCCTTGTCAAGGAAAGCAATACAATAGCAGTGCCTTAGACATTTCTCTGGAGACCTGAGTTCATCGACACAGCTATGGGATATTTTGTTTCCAGGAACAATCTCATTTACTTAGCTGAAATAACTTTACCATAGTACCTAAAGATATTAATTCATTTTGCTTGCAGAAACTTCATTTTCCCTCCCTGTCCTGCTGCTCAAGGCTGCAGAGATAATGCCCATGTATAAGCAGGTATCTCGCTTGTTGGCTTTCATTTAGAGACTATTTGCAATCATCCCCCAAAGAGATTTGTCGGCAACCTGCTCCCCCTGTGTTTCAGCAATGTTTGTTGTCTGTCTAGTTCCTCTCAAGAGGTGACAACCACAGTTCCCAACATGAGATCAACCTGTAAATTAGTTCAAAAGGTTTCAGGGGCCACAGGAGAATCTGCCAGGTGAGTCTCTGCCCTTCAGATCACCCAGGGAGTGCAAGAAAGGGAGACAAGCTGCCTCTTGTGCTAGAATACAGCCAGATGGAGCAAGCTGGGACCCACCAACAGGTATCTGAAATACGTAGGAGCTTGCTGGGGCAGAGGCACAGAGAACCACAGAACTCCAAACCACATCATTTGTTTTCTATCTCCCCACTAGAGGTGGGAGTCAATGAGGAGTAATTAAGTCACTGCTTATTAAGTGGTCCTCTACAAACAGACGGAGTTTGTGGAGTCCAATTTTGGCTTCACAGAAATTTGGGGAAGCAAGTAATCAAGCAATCAAGCAGCCATCATTATTCTTGCTCTTGCCTGCAGCATAGCAGGGCACAGTAAGTCAGGGACACCTGCTCAGCAAATGTCACTAGGAAGGTACCAGGCAGGGCCCTGCAGATGGGATTTATGGACCATGGATGTGAGTCACGGGTCCAGGAACGTATCTGCAGCACAACATTTCCCCTTTGAGTTGCTACAGCAACTCAAAGCCATCCTCTCCCAACTCAGAACCGTAGAATCATTAAGGTTGGAAAAGACCTCCAAGATCCTGGAGTCCAACCATTAACCCAGCACTAGCAGGTCCACCATTAAACCACATCCCTAAGCACCACAACTATTTCAAGAATAACAGCAAGTTTAATCCTCTTGCAGCAGGTCCTGTTCACCATCACTAGCAGCCCAGAACTTATACACAAACTATTCCAGTAAATCCCATAATTGTGCTGAGCATCTCCAGTCCTTCATAATTCCAACCATTCACTTTTGTGTTTTAATTACTTTCTGCTTTTTCTGCTATGGACAACTCTTTTCAGAGTGCAGTGTTTGCTGTGATCACTGAAATAGACTTTTACAGGCAACCAGCTCTGCTTTCAGTGTGTTCTCTCCCAAATACCCTGCAGGGGTTGTTACAGTGTTCCTCTCTTACCTTGGTGTTCTACTGAGTGAACAGAGAGGAGAGGTTGGAAGGTGAAATTAAAATAAGCTTCCATAGCTTGTAAAACATTTTTAATTTAATTGTTTCATTTTAATTCCTGAATTTCCATGGAAGGCAATTCGGGAATCAGGAAGTGCCTGGGTAACCGAACTGCTACAAAGAAAGTGAGAAAGAAACGATCAGTTTCTGCCAGTATCTATGTCCTTTCTCCTCATGTCTTGTTTCCTCCTTGACCACACCAGAGTCTGTCTCCTCCCTGGGCACAGAATTCTTAGCAGGGCCTCTTGTGACAGGACAAGGGTTTTAAATTAAAAGATTAGATATAAGGAAGAAATGTTTTATTATGAGGTTGGTGAAACTCTGAAAGAGGCTGCCCAGAAATGTGGTAGATGCCTCATCCCTGGAAACAATCAGGGTCAGGTTGGATGTGGCTCTGAACAACCTAATCTAGTTGAAGATGTTCCTGCTGATGGCAGCAGGGGTTGGATTAGGTGGCCTTTAAAGGTCCCTTCCAACCCAAACCATTCTGCAATTGCATCAGCCAAAAGCAGGTTTCTGGCAGCCCCAGTTGCTGTCAACCTTTTTATTTTGATGTCTGCCTGAAGATCCCTTACTTTATGTAGCAGAAAACAGAAGCACAACAAATCAGTCAGGAGCCTTCCACTAATGGGTGTCAAGCAAATGGTGCACACAAAATATAGATAGCACAGAGAAAGTGTTACCCTTTTCCAGGGGAAAAACAATTGGAAAAGCCAATGTTTGGTTTGTTGGGGTCTCCTGCTTCTTTTGGAATATGGTATACATATTTCTTTATTTCCCACATGTATTTTCAGACTATTGTTTCCATAGAGAATGAAAATATAAACATTGTGTCAGAATCCATTTCACTGTATTAACAGAAATACTGATGAAAGCTGTGATGTTACATGGAGACATCAGTTCCCATGCAAAATTGAAAGAAACTTAAGAAAATCTAACTTTCGAAAAATTTCTGTTGCTACAGAATGTGGAACTGGCTAAGAATTAAAACACCTCAGTAACATGTCTTCTCCTTCTCCATACACCACATAAATTTGGAACAAATTTAGGGTTATTTCATGTTTGAGGAGGAGGTAAGAACACAATCACGAAAAAGTGACTGACTCCTGTTCCTTAGGCTGCTCTTCTGGGCTATGGGAGATCTCATTTCTAGGTTCAAGTTTACAAATCAGAAGAGATTTGGACTTTGGTCACCAGAGCAAATTTCTACCCTTCCCCCCCTTTAAAAAAAAAAAAACCAAAAAAACTAGATTTGACATTTTATCTACAGCTCAGTCATATACATGCATAAGCATGGTAACTGTTTAAACTGTATTAATTAATCCAACACCTTCATGAAGGCTGTGGTCAATCTGATGACTCTCCAGAGGTCATTATTACCACCCTTGCACAGGAGAGCCTATTGCTTTTGTATCTGATCTCTTCACCACGTCTTCATGTTTCTCTTGGTGGCCCTGGGAAAACATCTTTTCTCTAGTGTCTTGTTTCAGGACCGACACACACCTCAAGATGACCAAGCAGAAGGAGGGTGGGATCTTGCAAGCACAGGATGCCTAAGATGACAGGGACTGTCGGGTTGAGGAATTGAGCCAATCTTTCAATAGGGAGACTTGCAAAATGCATGTGGTACAAGAAAATGTGTAACTGAGTTGAAGCAGCTCTTACTTGGTTCAACTTCTTTTCAACCCTTGTCATGTTCAAATAATAAAAATAAGTATTTCCTGTATCACTGAACCTTTGGGGAATTCTCCTGGAATGGTAACAGTTAATTAATTCCGTGTAATAGGGATGTTCTGAGAGCAAATAGCTTCACATATTTTTAACAGTGTAACACTTGTAGGAATTGTAATTTTTTAATATTTAAAAGCTTCATCTTCAAACCTAATACACTCATTTAGAGCAGCTGGGCTCAGTAGCTCGTCCATGTTACATGAATCTGAAACTGAAGCCGGGACAATGAGGCCAAGGCTGGTACCAACCATCCCATTGCTGCAACCGCTCTGTTTAGCACGTAAGAGTCATTAGGCAGAAGTGATGGCTCCAGCTGCCTTTTCAGACAGGAGCTCCTTCTGGAGAAGAGCAACCAGTTAGGCACTGGATGGACTCTTTTGCATTAAAACCCTCTGCCCTAATCAAACGCAATGCAAAAGAAACAACCGGCAGAGACGGGAGCGTAAAGGATTAACTAAGATGGTTCCAGCGTTTTCTTGTGCCTTCGGTGAAATAATTTACTCCGAGTACCCTGCAGTTTTCCCATCTTTGCACTGGCCGCTCTGAGCCACACGCAGGGGCGAGCCCAGCGGCTCGCCTCTCGCCGGCAGCCCCAGCGTGCTGCTCCGGGGGCACGCGAGCTGCTCGGGACCGGGCAGAGATCCCACACGACGCCACCCGGGGCATCAGGCCGCGCCCGGCCGCTGCTGGCGGACCCCGGCCGGGAGCCCCGGGGGCCGCCCCTTCCCCTTGCCCGCCGCCCCCTCTCCCGCCACCCGCGCTCCAACTTCCCCAGCGGCGCCTCCGGCACCGGCCGGGCTGCGGCAGCGGGGATGCCTGCTGCCTCCTCCCGCCGCCCTGCGCCTGTCCGTGACGGGCCAGGCAAGCCGGAGCCGGCGGGAGGCGCGGGGACTCCGCCGCGGAGCTGTGCCTGTGGACACGGCAGGTGCGATCGGCACCGGCACCGGCGGGGAGGGCGCGGGCTGGCGGCTCACGCCGCCGCCTCGGAGGCAACAATGGGCCGGGGGAGGCTCCGCGCAGTCGCTCCCTGCCCGCCCGGGGCTTCTGTGGGGAAAGGCGATGCCAGCCCAGCCCAGCCCAGCCCGGCCAAGCCGAGCCGAGCCAGACCGGGCCGGGTCGGGGTCCCTCCGACGGCGGCCCTCGGGATCTGCGCGCCCCAGGCGAGCGGCACCGTGCCGTGTAGCCAGAGCCCCGCTCCATTCCCTGGCCTCACCTGTTCAGCACTTTCCTGATCCTCTGGCGCACGCTGGAGGAGGGCGCGGAGATGCCGCTCCTGCCGCCGCCACTGCCGCCCTCCGCCGGCAGGTTCTCGATGGTGGCCACGACATGGCTGGGCTGCGGCGGGTGGTGCGGCGGCGGCGGCGGCTGCGGCGGCGGGGGGTGGCGGTGGTGGCGGTGGCGCTCGGGGGAGAGCATCGCGGCGGGGCTGCGCCTCAGCGGAGAGCGGGGCGCATCCCGGCGGGAGGGCGGCGGGCGCTGCTGCCGCCGGCGCTGGCTCCCTCGGCTTCCGGGCAGCTCCAGACCCTCGCCCGCTCCTCCCTCACTGGGCTGCCATGCAGCGAGGGGCGGGATGCTGCCGCCGCCGCCAGCGAGTGCCGCTCACGGCCGACGAAGTGGCAGCAGTTTGGCGACCCTCCTCCTCCTCCTCCCACACCCCCCGCGCCCAGCCGGTGCCTCCCCCCGGCGGAGCCGCCGCCGCTGCGCCGCCTCGATCCCCTTTGTTCCCGCTCGCCACCGCCCCGCGCTCCCCTGACGCGCGGCTGCTGCCGCGGCACGGCCCGGCCCGGCACGGCGCGGAGCCCCCGGAGCCCCTCGGAGCCCGGC